CCTTTTCTTCAGTGGGATTAACCACTTCTTTCTTCCCCCTTTACCAGATATTAACTTTTTGTCATAAAAGATGTCAGAATAGAATTTTTTTTTTTTTAGACATTGACCAATTTCCATTAGAGCTAGTTGATGTGTTCATGAAGTTTTGCAAGGAACAGACTGGTGAAGATATGACATCTTTCATATTTCTTCATTGTTGAGAATAATGACAGATTAGGTGACTAGTTAGACATTGGAAAAAAATGCATTACCCAGGACATGATGTGGTGCAGAGACACCTGATGACAAATGATCTCAGCTACACTGCACAGTGCACTTCCAAGAGCAACAGGTTAGTTAAATATAGCTCTGCAGTGAACTGGCTTGTGAACTCTACCTTGTAATGCCACACCTAAGTTAAACTTCTGCCTCTGCTGCTTTCTGTGGGTGAGATGGAAGAAGACAGTAATGTTTACAAGACCATATGGGCCTCAAAGACTCCATCCAGTCACATAAGTGATGTTCTTTTTCTTGGTCCTAGGGTCATGGGGCACAGCTCTTCCAGAGCTTACTAGACCTGAGCTATATAATGTGCTTTAAATGGGCTTAGTCCTGGCCTATGAAAAAGCCACTGCTTTTGGACAAAACTGTTCAGCCCAAGAATTTACTGTTACTGTAGGTATGATCAGAGTATTAGAAATGTGGGAGTGTAAATCAGATCACTTGTTAGAGTGTATAGATCCTTTGCAGGTAGGATAAGCAAAATGCTCAGTTTACTAGCCCATTAGATGCCTGTAGTTAAATTAGGAAATGCTTATAAATTTCCACGTTTACCAGTTTGTACCATGGGAAAAAGTCATTGTCTTTTACTGTGCGTTCATGAAGAGGAAACGTGCAGCTGCAGATTTCCAGTCAGCCTGGTAGGGTTATATAGGGTATACCCATCAGATTGTACTTTTTGTGTAAAACCTTCTAAGGAAAAGGCTCTGCTTGAAAATACTCTTTGAGTATTGGTTTACTTTTAAAATAAAGGTTTTCATGAGCTGCAAGATAGATGTAGTTTATTCCCTAAAATTGAGATTGAGGATATGGAGTAGTTTCTTGTTGTACTTCCCAGGGCGATTAAGTGAGAGTATGCGGAGGGTTGGAAAATAGAGTGATTTTCAGATATTGGCAGCAATTGTTTTGGTAATAATTCCCTTCTGTGGTGGTTGATCATCTGTGTGGGTGTGTGTGTGCAATCTTTATAATTTGACTGGAAAAGGAGAATAGAAAAGGAACACCTCAAAGGCTGTTGTGTTGGTGAAAATATTTGTAATCTTTCCCAAATGAAATAGAACAACATTTAAATAAAATGTACAACAAATTACTGCAAGAAATATATATGGAAGTATAACAAACAATTTTATAATTTTTTTAGTAGTATGTTTCCTTTAAAGGATGTTCTACAAATGGGCATACTCTTTAATCGCCTTTGTTACCATTACGCTGTGAGAGTTTATAGGGTACACAGAACAGGGCAAAACTGCACTGGGGATGTCTGTGAAATGCCAACTTTTAGGGATAAGATTGTAGGTTTTAGTGTACTGACACAAGTTGTTTCGTTACTAGTAACAATCTGATGCCTTTGTTCTGGTGTTGTTGCCTTTAAATATGGAGTAATCTGTATTTCTGTTCATCATGTTCTTTTTGTTGAATTAGTATTTAAAATAAGGTAATGCTTTTACCTTGTTAGTTAAAACTAGATGCATCGTTCTTGATAGCTACCAGACATTCTGTTCTTGTTGCCTGTTGGGCAGGAGAAAAATACATAGTATAATGGCTGTAAAAAGCAGCTGTAGTCCCAGAGAATGTTTTGAATATTAGCAAGATGCAACTAGAGTGGTTTGGGGACTTGGGGAGCTACTGTCATTGCTGAAAGTATCATATTCCATAAATAAAGTATTGAACTTAATGACCGATAATAATGTAGATTGCAAAATTATACTGGCAATAATCTAGTTAGTCCACATGCTTGTTGAAAACGACATGAAAACAAATTATGCAGGATGCATGTCTGCCATTAGCTCTCTGTAATTACCCACATTCTAGTATTAGCTTGCTACAATGATCGCATGAGAATTGGTTTCTTAATTAAAACTAAGATAAAAGTCCAAGTCTTCTTTGAGTTTAGATTTGTGTTGGGTTTTTTTTATGACATCTGTTTGCAAATAAGTTTGGCTTAGCTTCAGGTTACTTCTTTTTCACTACAGAAGAAGACATAATTACCTTTTAAATCTATACTTATATGTAGGTCCAAAACTGATTTTATCTGTATTTTCTTTCTAATGGGAAACAACTTTGAGTGAAAATGCTGTTGCTTAGTGCAGGGGGGCAATTAGCACTTGTTATAAAGTTTGAAATAGCTATGTGAGTTAGTAATTTGGAGTGATGATGAAGGCTAACTACTTAGCAGTTTGCATCTCCACTGTCTTTGAAGTGGTGTTCTCCACGTACAAAAGGAAAAATAATCAAAGAACTGTTTTTCCAAAGTAGACTGCTTTCTACAGGGCAGGTTATATTAGTGTTAATGCTTGGGAAAGGTGCCAGATTTCAATTAGGGCAGTAGCAGTTGGAGATCTCCAGCCAAAGGCACCTATAGAATGTAGCAGGGCAGCAGTGGTTATATTGTTATTTCAGTGTTTTGTTTTCTGCCAGCTTCACTAAACCCAGTGTTTCCTTCCTCCATTTGACTTTCCTTTTGCACTCCCAAGACCCCAGCATACCTGATTTACCTGCATTTTTATTACCTGTGTTTCTCTTTGAATAGACTTCAGTCATCATGATGTAAAAAATTCTGCCATCCTGTAAGTTCCAACTTGGGCCACAGATCATCCTTCTCTCTGACTCTTTCTATCACAACAGTAAAACAGATTAAATAAGCAACTCTGAATGGCAGAACAAACATAGCATAATTTCTTTATGATTTGTCCTTTGCCAAGATTCTCTGAAATCTAACAAAATACATATTTTCACAGAAGCTTTACTCTCAAGGCACTTCTTAGGTATCTCTTCCAGTTTTTTGGTGTTAAGCTCCTGAGGGCAGGCAGCCTTCTGGAAGAGTTACCCTTTGCCTGGACATCTACTTTCATGAACCTTCAGGTGCATAGCTGTTCTTTGACCTATTTTTCTCTTAAAAATTCAAGTGCAGTTGGTTAAGGAGTTCAGAAGAGATTGAGCAACAAGCAAATACATGCATCATCAGCCTGTTCCCTAAGGAAACCACGCTAATAGTTCTACACCTAACAGATGTAGAATTAGAAATGGACACCCCGATTTACTTTATGTTTATGCTTTCGTTGGGTTGGGTTGGGTTTTTTTGTGGGGGTCTTTGTTGGTTTGGTTTGGTTTGGTTTTGACCTTTTTTCTTCCTTAATCATTACTAGTGACTGCTTGAGATAAGGTACAGTCGGGGAAAACTGCAATTTGTGTTAAAATATTTGAAAGCATGGAGCTGAAAAGGAATTAAATGGCCACAAGTCAAAAGAGATGAAGAATAGCTTTTTACTCTTAAACACCTGGACAAAACTTCAGGTGTTAAAAAAAGAGCATGCTTGCACTGGAAGGAATACTGGAGGACAAGCTATATGTCAATGGTAACCTACCAAGGAGCAACTGACAGTGTTCAGAAAATGATAGGCACCTGTAAAGCTAAGAATCAGAAGAGGTCCATAGCCTAGTCTACAAGTAAATACGAAATAAGACCTCTAACGATCTGTGGATTACCAGGCTCTGAGAGGAGCAGTTTAGGAATACAAAACCGTTGCAGACAAATTCAGTTTTCTCTGTATCAGCCATCTGCAATGAAATGCAAATGTGAAATAATGCTGTCATGGACTGAAACAGAAGTGATGGAGTAAGTGGACAAGCTGGAGAGCAGCAAAACACTACGATTTGGCTCGCACCACGAGTCTTCTGTCAGAGAAGTCTGTCTGATGTTTGGACTCAGGGATGGATCCAGTGTAGTAGTTCATGTGTTGCTTTTAGGTTTTTTGTGTTCAGTTGGTAAGCTCTAGAGCAGAACTTGTATTTTTCTATATTCTCAGTTGTTATGCTTGTTAACAGCATGACATCTTACAATTTTGACAGAATAGTGGGGTGAAGGGGAGGAACGTTTATTGCATTTGCTGCTGGATTCAGAGATGTGTGGCAAATTTTTAGAAGAATGACAGCTCTATTTAATGATTCAATAGCATGGACACACAATGAAGAGGAGAGGTAGTTACTTGTCTTCAGAGCCAATTGGGAGAACATTACTTGCAGTGAATGGCCTTCGTATCACTAGCACTGAAAACTTTAGGCACTATGTAGTCCCTGCAGAATTTTAGTGAAGTACATGGACTTAACCAGATTGGTGATTAGGTTTTTTTCAGGTTATGTGTAAGTACTTTTCAATGACCGTTATTATACTAATAAGTAGAAGAATGTAGTACCTCTGTGCTGAGCTAGCAGAATTAAAACAGGCTGCAGTACAGAGCAAATGTCTGATTAGCTATGTAAGTACAGACATGATAGGAAGGGGATGTGATGTGGAGCACAAGCTCTGTATGACATCTGCATACTGACAAGTATGGATTCCATTGTTGTGAAGACTGTGCTTATACATCTTTTCATGCTTCTATAGCCTATAAATGCTAGGGCAGGAGGGATGTAGAATAGGTTATGCCTTATTTTCTTCATGTTATCATCTTTTCTGATACAGTTTCGGTTTTGCATGGATGTTAGAATTTTTATGTTTTAATGCTGCTAAAATATAATTTAGTAGTAATTCTTTTACAGGTTAGGGAACCATTGCAAATCTGTGTTATAAAGAAAACAAGAGGCAACTACTTGCAGGTGTTTAAATTTCACAGTGTTTTAGTGCAGTCTTCAGTAAGTCACTCTTAATGCTAGCTGCAAAGCAGTACTGAAGTATGGATTGTAATTCACTCATCTGGAGGTGGGGTTTGTTTTTGTTTTGTTTTGTTTTTGCACTGGCACAGAGTGAAGACAGTCCTAGTCCCAAGCGACAACGCCTTTCCCATTCAGTCTTTGACTATACAGCAGCATCACCAGCCCCATCACCACCAATGCGACCATGGGAGATGACATCAAATAGGCAGCCTCCTTTGGTTCGGCCCAACCAACATCACTTCTCAGGGGAAAGATGCAACACACCCGCACGAAACAGGAGGAGGTAAGCAAGCTGTGTAGGTTGGGGAACAATTTCTTATTCTTCCTGATTTGAGCTCAAGGGAGGTGTATGTCAGGGAGCACTGACTAGATCACACGTGGTAAACATGTTAACATTTCCTCTGAGCTGTAAATTATTGTAGTTGTAACTGAAAAGTTACTGGAAGTAATTCAGGTTGGTGCATCATCCCATAATTTGTGTGAATAGCCAGCTCGGGAAAGGTGTGCTCATTAACATTTTTAATTATGACCCTGATTCTCTTTAACTCTGCACTGGAGCAATAAGCATTTAGAAAAATGTGAGGAAAAACTTTTCTCATTGGGGTACTTTTAAAGATATTAAGAGTTATAGATATAGTACCATAATTTGCACTGCAGTCACAATTATTTTCGTACATAAAAACAGTCTAAATAAAGATGAGGGATACAGGCTGGGGAGAGTGAGGAGGTTAGCATAGTGTCACATGGTTGCTGGCGTGGGTGATTCACATGTAATAGGAGTTAGATTTTCACATTGGTTTTAGCTTGTGGCTCATTAACCTCTCAAAGCAGAGATTTTGGAAGAAGTTCCAGTGGTCATGGAATAATAGAGATGGGATGAATACATCGAACTGGTGCTTGGGTGGATGGTAGTATAGAAAGGCATAAAATGCCAGACTTCATTACTATTCTAGTTAAACTAATTATCCAAAACACAAACTTTCATTGCCTCACATTCTGCCTCAAAAATGCTGAGTCATCTAATGCAAGTTAAAACACGCTGTCCCTCTGTTGGCTTCTGGGAAGTATTGTGGCTTGGTTTGTACCAAAATTGCAGTGTCTGCTTTTTCATGAATGTAAAATATTAGACTTAAAAAATATATAACTTGGTTTTTTTCTGATTCCACAAATCAAATTTGTGAACCATGATCAGTCAGGTGTAGTTTCGAGGCAAGAGACTTTAAAAAATGCTAGTTTTGTATCATTGCTTCAGATCCATGAATCTGAAAGCTTTCAGTCAGTGGCATTCAAAATACACAGCTCTCGGAACAGCTTGTTAAACTTAAGAAAGAGGTTGAATTTTGAATTTGCAGGGTTATTGTGAAGACAGAAAAGTAAGCCTTTTGTACAATTTGGTACAGGGATGCTCTACAGAGGCATTTCATCCACAGAGTTTTTGTACCTTAAAATGGTTTGAACTGAGATGCCTAGAATATGCTGCATTTGGCCATTTTTGTTTGGTGCCCAGCTAGCCTACACAGATTTCTTTGCAATCTTCATTAACATCTCCTCCAGAGTAAGTAGAGCGCTTAACAAGCTAAAGGCCAGATACTGAATCTAGACCATTTGGATATACTGGGGGATGAAGGAGAGGAATGGGAGGTGTAGGAGATGAATGTGGCTAGGACAAGTGCCTGACATTCAAGTGCAGTCAGGTGTTAACCAAGGTAGTGGCCTGTGGCTTGCAAGTAAACTGTGCTGCCAGTGGAGAGACACCTCAGTGCAGAGCCATCTTCAGTCAGACAAGAGTTGTTAGGTTGGCTGCAGCACTGTGGACACAAAGCATTACTCTTTCTAGGGCCAGCTCACCTGCTCTTGGGTAGTAAGACCTGCTTTTGCCTCTAATCAGGGACATTTGAATGTGTCAGTACTTTGTTTCCCTGCACACAACTCGGCATTTTTTAGCTTGGGTACGCTGTTGCATTTGAGCTGGCTCTAAGTCAGTTCCAGAATAGTACCGTGCCCAATCTCCTCTCCTGAAACAGGATTGTTAGGAAGAACAACACATACATGTCTCTTATTTTGCAGAAGTCTTAGAATGCTCTGGAGCTGTATCAGAACTAATAACCATTCTCATGGATCAAAGCTTGATTCCTTAAGATCATTGTGAGTGCATCTGTTACTAATGCTTTAGATGAGGTTATGCATGTGCTTTTGAAGACAGTTTCCTGTTTTCCCTGCTTTGTCTTCTCTCTTCCCATCACAGAGTGGTCTCAGAGTTAATGAGGTTTTAAGATGAACATGAAAGGTGTACTCCAGTTGCAAATGGTCATTCAGCTCAAGGGAACAGACTAGGGCAAGTGCAAACAAAACCTCTGAAGTATGTGTAGTGTGGACATCACTCTGACCCAATGACATGAGCATCCACTCTTTTGTCCTACCAGTTCACTCTAGCTGGTTGGCACAGGCTCTAGTGGTTTTTTATTATCTGGATTTTTTCCATTGTCTGGGTTACTATGTAGACCTTACCTTTTTGTATCAGGGATTTTGTATGGTGCCTAGCACAACAGTGCCCTAATTCATTGTGGTTTTTTTCAGATTCATTGTAAGCAAATAAATACTGTGTTAGAAAGGTAGCTTCCTGGTATGAATTTGCAGAAAGATGTTATTTTTGTCCAGCTACTTATAGTACAGATAAGTTGAATGTAAAAGCATAATGCGTGCCTGTATGAAACAGAGAAGGCCATTCCAATTTGCCTTTACCAGTCATTGTGAAATGGGGAGATCTGTACTATTGCTGTGTCTCACCTTTCACCTGTGCTTCCTTTCTTCCTTGTCTTGAATGTAATTCTGAACTAACAAGATTTAAGAATGTGTTACTGCAAAGAAATCACCCTTTTTAGAAAACACTAAGGTCTGCCAATACTAACTCTGCAGTTATCGATAACTTTTGATGACTGTTCCTATCTGAGGGCAGGAATTTCTGCAATTTTTTTCACCACTTCATCCTGTCTCTTTGTTTAACTGGGCATTTACCATGTTTATACTGTGCCTGTAGAACCAGAGGAGGTTTTTTGTGCATATTTTTTAAAGACTTTAAGCACAAGTTCATTACTGATGTTAAATAATAGTTTAGACCCATGTTTGGACAATTCTTCTGAAGTCATTTCCAGTAATTCAGGAAGCATGTAGAGCCATGTATCCAGATGCTCTGAATTTTGCTGAATGAAAAGTATAGTTTCTTTATAACTCCGCATAGGAAAAATCCAGTTTTGCTTTTTCCTGTGAACGATGCTCCAGTCATTTAGAAAACCACTCCAGAAGTTCTGCCAGCTTTTGCTGGGTGTGCTTTCTCAATCCTGGGTTCATAGGAAGTAAAGCCAGACCTTTTAACAAAGACGGGGTAAGAGTAGTTTTATGAGAAGCTACCTTGTTTAAGTGCTGGTGGCGGTTAGAGGATTTCTGTTCTTCCAAAGCATTGAAGCTGTCTTTTGTAACTTGCCTCTCTTCCTGCAGCTTTTTCAAACAAAAATCCTTGCACAGACGTTTTGTGTTAAAGTATTGAGAGCATTTCTGTTTCATAGCAGGAAATAGCAACTTTAAAGCAACCTTAGTATTCCAAAAACCAGAACATCTTTTGCATCAATAGCTCTGTGGTTAGAAGTCATATATACCAGTTTTATCTAATGAGCATATTACAGGTGTATCATACTAGTAATACAGAGATGGAGAGTGCAACAAAAAACTCTGGGAAAGGAGACTGGAATTAAGACAAATACATTAGTAAGACTGTAAATGTAGGTTCTTAGTGCTTAGAAGAAAACACAGCTTGTGTGTTCAGACATGGTAATTTGTAAAGATAAAGAAGACTATGCATTTTTTTGGTTGCCTGGGGGTTTTTTGTTTTAAGAATGCTGTGTTTCAGTCTGGCATTATGCCTTCTGTCTGACCTGTTGTGAATTAGCATTTGTTTCAGTTCTAAAATGACGTAACATTCCTGTGAAGTAGGGCAGAAAAATAGTGGCTTGAGACATTGTATCCTATTCTCACAGTAGCATCTGAATAGCTGGTAGTAGGGTCCCTTTCCCCATAGTATGTCTGTTTCACACAGCACAAAAGTTGGACTCAACTTTAGGAATGTCTGGGCTTTGCCAACAGGTTTCAGGTTTATTTTATTTTTATTTGGTAATAGCAATGGGAATAGTGAAAATGAAGAATCTGAAGTTCTCTTGCACGCACTGTAGGAGAGGACATATTCTAATGGTCACAGACCCTTGCTGTCTCCTCTCTGTAGTTTGGTCCCTTCAGCCTGTTCCATAAGCAGGAAACCATTTTGTCCCACATAGCTTTAATTTGCTGTTGCCTCTGGGACCTGTAATTTATGTGTTGTGAAGATTGGAAGGCATGTATTGAAAGTACTAGGGGATGGGTTTGTGCTTTCAGTTCTTTCCCCTTCCAAATAAATGAGAAGTGACTTGATCAAAACTTCTAACAGCGAGTTTGTTACTTGTGTGTGCGTAATTTTCTGAGTGTGAACCTGAGCTGCTGGTCTTTGATTTACAGAAGTCTCAGCTCAAGGTAGTAGCAGCTCTGCTCAGACCATACACACAATTATATAAGAATACGTAACCAAATCCTGTGCCTGTAGATCAGATGCTTAAAAGAAGTAGATGCTCTGGTCTAAATCAATCTACACAACAGTTCTCCACTCTGAAAAAGAAAGATTACCACAATCAGAATTTCCTGGGATCTTCTGGAGGGAATTCTATGAGGCACTCAGTTACGTAGTGAACATGTGAGAGCTGAAAAATTAATTTGTCTCTTCAGAGGAGTCTACTGCTTTGTCTGCTGTCACTAGGTGAGCAACCATTCTGTGGTCTGGTTGCAGCTAGGATTCTGGTATCCTGGATCATGTAATGAAGGATTTTTACGTAGAATAAATGCACGGAAGTCTCTTGAAGTTTGCTGTCTTGACTTTTGAGTGCTTATCTTGGCAATCCAAGTGCCATTTTTTTAACAGGTTAATATTTACATAAGAGTTCTTTTCCTGGTTTCCTTTACAGCATTAAGCTATGCTCTATTAAGCACTTTTATGCTGAAAAAAGTGTCATCTCTTCAGGCTTTTAGCAGTTTTTTCAGTAAGAAGTTTTATTCCAATCTAATAAACCTGTTCTAGTGAAATTTTGCAGTGTAAAAACTTTCTTGATACTTGATTCTCTTGTGGTTTTAGTTATTAAGAAGGATTTGTGTCATTTATGTAATCTCTAATTTTTTTAATGTGTTTCCAGTCCTCCTGTTCGACGTCAGAGAACAAGGAGAGATCGTTTGTCTAGACATAATTCCATTAACCAGGATGAAAACTATCACCATCTCTCCTACGGACAGCAGCAAGCAATAGAAGAGCCCCGAGCCTTTCACCCACCAAACGTATCTCCTCGTATGTTGCACCCAGCTGCTCACCCACCACAGCAGAATGCAGTGATGGTTGATATTCATGATCAGGTAAGAGTTTTAGAGTACAAACAGAAGGGTGTTAAAGAAGTGGGGTTTGTTTGTTTGGGGTTTTCCCCCCCCAAATCTTCAAGATCCTTCTCCTCCCCAAATTAGTTGGCAATGAAAGTCACATAACACTAAATTCTATTTGCCCTCTTACAGAGCATTTTTCCTGTTGAATGTTAGTCATGTATGGAGCGCTGCAGTAGGCAGTGAAAAAACAAAAAGAAAGTCCAGAATTTTAATAAAGATTGATATTTAACAATTTTTCAATGCATGTATTGGCATAGTTTGGTAGGCCTCTGGCTCAAACCTTTGAAATGCAGGGGTTTTGCTTCTGAAGTTAATTTAATGTGATAAAGTTGTGATATGATAATTAAGAATGTGTTCTATTTCATGTGAACTACCTCTTCTTAGCTTAGGAGTCTCTAAGTAGTTAAAGTACATTATTTAGAAGCAGAATTCACAATGCCTATAATTGGTTGCCTATACCACAGCAGAACTCATGATAGTATCGTCACATAACCAAATTAGCCATCCAAGCCTAATCAACTCATCCTTAAATGCTATGAAAAAAATGAGATATGTGGCTGCTCCAGAAAGTAAATAATTCCTCTGTGCAACAACAACTGGTATAGAATTCTGTAACTGAGGACTTGTAAAAGAATTTGTCCTGTTGAGGTAACCTTTGGTGTTGTTTTTTGTTAAAGTCAGCAGGCTGCAGCACAAGTACATTAGTCGCTACATAGTCATGAACTGGAAAATATAACTGGTTATCCTGATGTCCACTTCTCAGACTGCATCACACAGAATGCAACTCTAACATCCCTTCTTAAAAACTGGTTTGCTTTCAGTGCAGCTGCATACTACTGGTGTGTTGTATTATGTGTGCAGAGCAGTTTTCAGTAGGGAAGTATTTGCATTTGGGACCAAGTACAAGGGTGGAAGCTAACGCCATTCTAGCCATCTCACAACCTTACATTTTGATGAACAATTTTACTGCTACATCATCTCAAAAATTCAGATTGTGCTCTTGCTTTACGTTGCAAGCTTACATCACGACAAACCTGGATAAATCCAGGTGTTCCAGACTGATATCTTCCATGGTGATGCTTTTTACTTACGGGACATAACCATTTTGAGAGGTCATTTTTTGTTATTGCTCTGAGCAGTAAATATTTCAGAATCACATGCAGCATTGCACTGTATGCCCAACTTTTGTACCTGAGCCAGAAATGGGTCAAATTCAGTGTGAGGGAGACTGGTTTCTGTCACTAGAGATATACAGGTTGAGATTTTAAGTTCTATTCCATGCTCTGTGTTCTCTTTTGGCCTCTGTGTCTGACTGTGCACTACCAGTTCAGTAGGTTAGCTGTCTTTATTCATTCTCACCTTCCTAATGAGCTCTTCTTACTTGTTCCATTTTAAGCAAGCAGGTTCCATTTTAGCAGATCATGAAGGAACAGGGAGCTTCCTTGAAATAATTACTTTTTATTAATCCATGCTCCCTCACATTTAAGCCTTTTCGGTTTTACTAGAGCATCAGAGATTTCTTGTTTAGTGTTTTTTAAAAAAACAAAAAAAGTTATTTGTAGGTCCAGAATACCTTTGGATCTTAGTTTGATGATTAAATTCTAGGAAATATTACTAGCTAGAAAATTGGGTTACGTGGGTCTGTTTCCTCATCTAAATGTGGATATTTAGGGCATGCTGCCTCATAATCATGTTCACTTTTCAGCTCTCTGGTTAGCTGTTCTGTTACATTTAGGTTAGGAGACTTAGCATGAGTGTTGGTCTGAAAGTGAATCAAGAGATTGGTCTCTTTGGAAGAAAGAAAATCTACACAATTTTCTTGTTCTTTAAAGATACAAGCCTCTGAATTATTGAATCAGTCCCTTCAGACATGGGACAATTCTTTAGCTACTTGTATATTACCTTTTATGTGGGAGTTACTGCCTTCTTATTTTGTAAGAACTAACCTTAGTATTGGGCGGGGCGGGGGTTATGGTTTAATAGTCTGAGATGCCTCTGTGTGACTTTAAGGTGCCTTTGAAGTTTTAACATTTTAAGCTGAGAGATCCCTCTTGGCCTTACCTAGAAACTGTTAATCAATAAGTAATGTTCCACTGAGAAGAATATTTTAATGAACAGGAATTACAAGCATGTGCCTCCCTTTACACCTTCGTTGTGAATGTATTTTCTTCTGATATGTAGGTAGAAGCTTGTTATCTTACTCATCATGCTGTACAACACTGTTAAGAGTTTACAGTAAGTTACTGATTTTTTTTTGCTTTTGCTGCAGATCCATCAGGGCACAGTTCCTGTCTCATACACAGTGACAACGGTGGCTCCACATGGGATACCACTTTGCACGGGCCAGCACATCCCAGCCTGCAACACACAGCAGGTCCCAGGGTGCTCAGTGGTTTTCAGTGGGCAGCACCTTCCAGTCTGCAGTGTGCCTCCCCCAGTAAGTGGGTATCTGTAGTTACACTAGCTTCAATCTTAGACACAGGAATGGCACCTTAGAGCTTCAATGTCTGTATGGCTTTAATTGTGTTGGAAATAGCCATTTTTTTTCCACCTGTGGTAAATTGCAGTACCATAGCAGTGTAGGCTTAGAGCTGGTAAGCATATGCTACTTGCCTACTGTCTTTATAGAGTATGACTTTATAGTATAGAGTCCTGATGGTATTTAATTCAAACTAGATGTTGGTTTATGAACTGATTTCTTAGCAGCAGCTATTCTGCATACTTTCAGATAGTAAGAGGAAGCTTTATAAGGCTTTTATTCGGCAGCTCACCTAGAAAAAAAATCTTAGTAGAGACTTTATTCAGGGATTGGATACATACAAAAAGGTCTGATACTCAGAAGTCAGTTTTCTTCTGAGAAGTAATAAGGTTCTGAAAGATCACTAAAAGCTGAAAAGGGCTCTTCTGTCTCAGAATGGTCTCATAAAATGAATCAGAATATTCTTAAATAATGATGTCTCTGTGCCTTTCTGGGAATAAAGTGCCTTGACTGTGTAATTTGCCACCTTCAAGTTTGAAAGAACTTGAACTGTTTTCTTAGAAATTTTTATGTATCAGCTAGGAGATACCACTTTCCAGGTCATAGCATTCTGATGCTACCATTCTGTGAAAATTTCATCATTAAGTGTTAACAGGCACCAGTGCTGAACAAGTGTACCCCAAGAAGTTTCAGCTGTGCAAATAAAGGTTGCAGAATCTGTTGGAAGAGTCACAGCTTTTTTTTCCCTCCTTTTTCTAGTATAAATCTGTAATATCGTACGTAAATACTATATATAGTGTCCAGTAACCATTTATAATGTTGGTATAAACATTCGTCTCTGCCAGCTGTGTATTTGCAAGCAATGTGTAACTTAACTTTCCTGTTGCACATTCTGTGACCTGAGGGCGTGAACAAGCCTATGACACTGAAACAAAACCCTTGATGTGACCACCTATTTATTTAAGCTGCTCGTTGAAGAGCGAGGGTAATTTGCATTCATCTTGTCCAGATGCCATTTATCCCCATGAGAGACAACAATGTCTGCAGCATACTGCTGGCCAATCTGGAATATTTGTGGGGAATATTTCCCCTTACTTTCCAACTGGTGAAAATCTGTTACATGAGTCAGTGTGTAACCCGGAGGCAGGATGAGAGATAACTTTTTTTTTCTCTTTAGTGGTGGTGTTAGTGGAGCAAAGCAATCTGTCGTGGTTTAACCCCAGCCAGCAACTAAACACCACGCAGCCGCTCACTCACTTCGCCCCCACCCAGTGGGATGGGGGAGAAAATCAGGAAAAGAAGTAAAACTCGTGGGTTGAGATAAGAACGGTTTAATAGAACAGAAAAGAAGAAACTAATAATGATAATGATAACACTAATGAAATTAACAGTAATAATAAAAGGATTGTAATATACAAATGATGCACAGTGCAATTGCTCACCACCCGCTAATAGATGCCCAGTTAGTCCCTGAGCGGAGATTCCTGCCCCCCCCATTTTATATACTAGATGTGACATCACATGGTATGGAATACCCCATTGGCCACTTTGGGTCAGCTGCCCTGGCTGTGTCCTGTGCCAGCTTCTTGTGCCCCTCCAGCTTTCTTACTGGCTGGGCATGAGAAGCTGAAAAATCCTTGACTTGAGACTAAACATTACTGACCAACAACTGAAGACATCAGTGTTATCAACATTCTTCTCATACTGAACTCAAAATACAGCACTGTACCAGCTACTAGGAAGACAATTAACTCTATCCCAGCTGAAACCAGGACACAATCTCAGGCTGGGTACCCAGAGATTGGAACAATACTTGCATAGTAAATTCAGCAAGGCAAGAAAGCAACATGTCCTAAAAAGAGAAAAGAGAAAAAGCTGAATCTATATTGGGGCTTAGGGAAATCCAAACAACACTTACAATCTCTGCTTTGAACAGGTATATTATCTGTGCAATTCATAAAATGTTTTATAATTCAGCAATGCAGCTGTCCTATACATATAGAGTAAAGCTCTAACAGGTTGTTTCGACTGAATGTACAACAGTTAATCAAATGTGTTGAGACAACGGATGCAGTAAAAGTGAATATAAAGAATTAAGGTTGAGTATATGTAACATCAGCAGGCAGACTTTATGCTTTCTTTTATTATGTCACAGAATTGAGGAATAATTTAAGTTTGGAGTGGGCTCTGGAGGTCATCTGGTGGTCACCTGCTACAAGCAGTACATGTCTCCAGGGATGGAGATTTCACAACCCTCTAAGCCTCCACTCCAGTGTTTGACTATCCTTGTGAAGAATTTCTTCTGTATATCTGATTGAATTTTCCTTGCTGCAACTTGGTCCCATTGGTCCTTGTCCTTTCACTTTACCCCTTGAGGAAGAGTCAGGTTCTGCCTGTCCACTCTCATGAAGTAGCTGAAGACAGTGGTAAGGTCTTCGCTTATTTTTCTCTTTTTAAGGCATAACAAATCCACTTCTGCAGCCTCTTCTTTTATGCAGTGTGATCCAAGCTCCTGGTCATCATGTTGTCATTCAGTGGACTCATTTCAGTATGTCAGCTCTTTCTTTGGCACTGGGGAGGCCAAAACTGGACACAGGACTTGAGATACAGTTTCAGGAGTTCCAAATAGAGGGGCGGAATCACTTCACTGGACACATTAGTTACATTCTTAGTAATGCAGCTGAGTGTGCAGTAGGCCTTTTTGACTGCAGGAGTGCACTGTAGCTCTTGTGTACTCTCTTTGATGTCTCCACCAGAACCCAACTTTTTTTTTCTGCAAATCCGCTCACCAACCAGTCAGTCTCAAAATGTCCTGCTCCATGGGGTTATTCTCTCCAAGTGCCAGACTTCATATTTGCTTTTGTTGAACTTCACATAGTTCCTGTCAGCCAGTTTCTCCAGCCTATAAAAATACATCTGAAAGATAGCCTTGCCCTCCACCATGTCAGCTTGCTTCACAGCTTCATCTGTGAGCTTCCCAGTATCCTTTTGTTACTTTCACAGTATTTGTCTCTCTCACTGCATATGTAATTATAAAATAAACAATTGTCATTTATGAAATACCTTCATCAGTTTTAAAACTTCTTGAAAACATATGTTCAAACAGCAGAAGTTTTCCAAAAGCCTGAATGAATAAACAGATAATTTTCATTTCTTTCCACTTGAAATATAATGCAGCCTCATTTGCTCTAACTTAAAAAGTGCCATGGACATAGCACAGATCGTTCCAAACATATATTGGAGCTATGGTAATCTTTATCATACAGAATCATGGGATGAAACCTATTTTAACATGTTCCCCAAAGTACCTCCTGTTTTAAAGAACACTGTGTGATGTTCTACCTGCATATTTATCTTCAACTACTTCAGAGAACAGTTTTCAATTCAGTAAAATACAATTTAAAAAATATTTTTAAGAATAAAAACACTTGCCTATTGTATTTCTTTTGTAGAAGAATGATGCAGTAGCTGAGGGTGAAGAATAGTCAGCATTTCAGAAAAAATAGTAGTCAGATCAAATTAATCTGCTGCTGCTTCCGTGCATGTAAAAATTTATGTTTGGTCATGATCACAGTGAATTGAGGTGATAGTTACACCTCCGCTAATGTAATCTGATTTTAAACTAGATCTCTTTACCATTTTATGCCATTATAGTCAGTATGCACAATATGTTGTGTGACATGACTAAAAAGAAAAAAAAAAGATCAGAACTGGGTCCTCTTTCTTCGTAAGATTTGATAACAAGTACCTTATTAATTGCCCTTTTAATTGTCAAAAATGTAACGGAAATGCCTGACATTGTGATGATGGATCAAAGAGCAAGAAAAAGAGAATGCAGGTTTCCTTGCTCCTCCATATCTAGAGTCAGAAGTAAAACTGAACACTTCCACAAAGCACATTCCCTGCAGTACCTTCATCACTTTAGTGTTCAAACTCTAGTGCCCAAAGTTGCTTTTGTATGAGGAATTTCAAAGAGGAGAGAAAAGGGGCTATTTCCCACAGTATCTGTCACTTAGGGAGCCGCCTTTAGAGCATGGGGCTCCCCTCAAAGTGCAGAACTGAGCTGAGCTTGTGAATTATTCTTAGTATGTGGGGCAACAGAGGTTTTAATGCACAGTCTGACAGCTGGGAGTCCCTCAGCAATATTTAGAGCTTAAAATTTTTGCAAGGCCATTGCTTTGGCAAGTTGTTTTGAAGGTAATATGTGGGAAGAATAAAATTGACTAGGATAACAGTATCTGCTCATCACTTAGGAGTCTGTCTAATCCTGGAGTATTGAAAACCCTAACTGCCACTGACCTCATAAGAAGACTTCCAGAGCTTGTTCTGTATTAATCCCTGTTCCTTGTGTATTTGATTGAGTTGCTATTTGTGTGTGTTTTGGAGGCTTTTCCTAGGAGGCAAAAGAACTGCTTTGTTTTAATGATATCTTGCCCTAATAAATATAGAATGTTCAATAGGGAATGTTTGTGCTAGATACAAAAATATGTTGTTTTCGTTTTATTTCAGATGCTTCAGGCGTGCTCAGTCCAGCACCTACCTGTACCATATGCAGCATTTCCACCCCTCATTTCTAGTGACCCATTCCTTTTGCATCCTCCTCATATCTCTCCACACCACCCTCCTCACTTGCCTCCTCCAGGACAATTCGTTCCTTTCCAAGCACAGCAGTCACGGTCGGTAAGTAATGCTTCTTACCCCACTCTCCATAGAACTGGTGGGGCTGGATGGGCAAATAGTGCTGATAGCTGACTGAAGAAACAGAATGATTTTGTTTAAAGTAGTAAGTTGTGCACTTATGTTTCCTTAGCAAGTCTGTAACCACTTAGTGTGAAGATAAAAAAGTAATTTTAAAGTTCACCGTGTTTCTCTTCAGATTTTGTCAGTTGTTGTCTGTGCTGTTTCTCCATAGGGCTATACTTCTGTGAAAAAGATGTATATTTGCTTCACCAACTATTCCTTCAGGTATTTCTTTCCCAGGAAGCAGAAGAGAATCCAGAGGAGGTTGTGTAGTGCAGTAGTGGTCTCAGAGAAAAGCTTAGCAGAGAGAGAAGAAAGCACAGAATGTTACTTTCGTTACATGCTTCTGTTGTATTACTTCTCAGTTAATTTTTAAATGACCAGTGCTTTTCCTAGAACATAATGACCTTAGGTCATCCAGACACATTCAGGAGCCTACAGTTGCCCTTTCTCCTTTTTTTTTTTGGTTTTTTTTCTCCTCACTTATGAAAGTTACTGATGCCTTCTGCTTAAGCAGACTTGCCTTAGTGATAGGGACTATGCAAACATGGGAAAATGTAACCACCTTTTGGATTTGGGGGGGAATTAGATTTTCAGTTCTGGCCTACAGCTCTTACTGGGGAGTTATCTGTATATTCGTGTCCGTTAGTTTGCTCCTCTGACTAGAAGATGCCAGTATTTCCCTAACGCAGAAATAGAAAACAGCTTCACTGTTACTTACAAACACTGCTGAGACTTCTCCATGCCATGTCTCAGGTGTGGATAAGGTTGTAATCACTTTGTTATGATGATAGGAGAACAACTGGGAAAATATGGGTTTTAGTGGTAATCTTTTTAAGATTGTCTTTTAGAAAATGTATGGGCTCGGGTTTTATAGCTTGGGTTGCTTAGTTAGGTTATTGACTAGGCTTGCCTGTCAACTTTCAGCTCTGGCAAAGAGCTTGTATCTTAGTGTTTTAAGAATACCTTGTGTTTAAAGTTTGCTCTGCATAACAGGGAAACAGAATATTCCTTTGGTTCCATAAGGTGGCTTTCTTAGCTGAATTTCTTGAAATGGTGGAATTCAGTGTCAAGAACAGAAAGGTGTACTAATGAAACAATGACAGTTCCTGATTATTTCCTGAGTACTTTTGGGCCTGACTGATGTACTACATACAGTTGACTAGATTACAATACTGAACTGGAATCTCATGCTTCTGAAACCTCTGGACTATGTGTTCGTGGTAGGACTGCATGCATGACCCACCTAGGAAAGCATCTGCTTGATTACTGAATATCATTAGCAGTTTAATCCACTGGATTCGCTATGTTTCCTCTCCACTTTGCAGATTTTCTGGCACAATTTCAGTTCTTGTCTATGGTTGTTTATTTTTTTCTCTCGCATAGTTGTACAGTGAGAGCAGCCTGGCAAGAAGGAGAGCAAATATTTGTCCTGAAAAATGCAAGACACAGGAAATTACAGCCACTTCTATATTTGCTAGATCGCATAAATTCCTGGTCTATAAGCATGGCTAGCTGGAAAAGGTGAATTTATATCAAATGTGTAGTGTTGTCTTTGCTTTTTGGTAGTGTTAATGACACAGGAATTGTTCAGAGTTACTATGTGAAACTGGGTACAATTATAGCTGTAATTTTTTGGTTTTTTGTTTTTTGGTTTTTGGTTTGTTTTTTTTTTTTTGGTTTTTGGTTTGTTTTTTTTTTTTACCCTATAAAATTGACCACAGCAGCTCAGAACATACAGCTGGGATTGCAGTTCTTTATTGGGGAAAAATGGCATCTCTATTATTGCAACAAAGCTTTTTTTTTTTTTTTCTTTTTTTTTTCTTTTTTTTTTTCTTTTAGCCACTTCAAAGGATAGAAAATGAGGTAGAACTGCTTGGAGAACATCTTCCTGTAGGAGGTTTTACATACCCTCCCCCAGCCCATCCACCAACATTGCCTCCCTCAGCTCCTCTCCAATTCTTAACCCACGATCCTTTACACCAGGAGGTGTCATTTGGTGTAGTAAGTATTGTTTTCTGTGCCACATTCTCATTCATAATACATTAACATTCTTGATCTTCATTCTATAGTACATTTTGTTGAAAAGTGGCACTTCTTGCAGTTTTATTCCATTATTGGCTATAGCTGCATACTGTGGTATTTTCTTCAAGCTTGTTTTAATCAAGTTAAGGGTAACTTAATGATACCAGCGAATTATTTCTGATAACATTATTTGCAGAGTGTTGTAACAGTTACTTAGAAAACATTTCATGTTACCACACAGTCCAGGACTTCTACTGCAGATATTAATTAGTACAGTTCAGAAAAGCTGCTGTCACTTTTAGCTAATTCTTCATCGTATGTTATGTTTCCACAAGTCAGGAAAGCTAGAATGCTTTAAAAATAGTTCTTTTCCAGAGTGTTCGCAATTCGCAGGCAAGCAGTTGTATAGAGTGCTTCCATAATTTTGACTGCACCATGTTATAAAGACAGCCAAGCTTGCTTAAGCTAACTTTATGGGGATCTACAGGCAGTTCAACTGCAGCAGCACAAAAAAAATTAAACCTGCTGCAGGATAAAGTCTGTGCTGAATTTTGTGTTTCTGTAGTGTGTCCAGTACCTGTGCTACCTCTAGGATCTTTGTGGTGCACTTCAATCTGCAATTATATTGCATCCTGAGATGTTTTTTGTTGTTGTTGTTGTTCTGTGTGCATTGTTTTTTTTAAAAAAAACTTTCCTGTCTGTGTAATGCTTGAAGAAATAACCAGAAGTGAAGTACAGGCTCTGAATTTTTTTGATGTTTGACCTGTGCATCAAGTTGACAAAAGGTTTTAGAGGCATATTATTATTCAAAATTTTAAATGAGAATTAAATTTTAGGGCCTGTGACTACAGAATATACAGATAACTTCTCTTTAATTAGTTTTCTTGAAATCACATAACCTAGTTAAATGCTTGCTGCAGTTTTTATAAAGGTTCAAATAAGTCTCCACCTTTAAAAAAATATTCAGCTTGTTAAACTAAAGGTGTACAGATTTTCAATTAAGTTTTCAGGCACTATGAGTCACTCTGGAGACAAAGACACTTAAAAACTTCCATAAACTGCTTGTATTTTACTCAGTATGCTTGTTAGATGAATTACAATCACAAACATTTTGGTTGGAGTGAGGCTTTCTTGATTTCCAAGTTCAGTCTTTAAAGTATATAAAGAACAAAATACCATCTTTTTGCAGATTACATAGCATTTGTCCTCTCTGATGCTTCAGTTCTGGGTTGTATATTGCTGATGAGCATGGTCTTTTATAAAGCAATCCTAAATCTTTATAAAATTTTCTAGAAAAATACAGTTTAAGTGGAAATTTTTACCACATATGTCTCCGTTTTAGTAGGTAATGCACGGAGTTTTGAAAAATTATAATGAAAATTTAATTGTACAAGGAAAGAGCTCAGCATACAAATGAAAAAAAGTATGACAAAAAAGCCCTGATTTATCCATGGAAAGAACAGATTGAAGCTTTAGGCTTGACTGTCCTTTAAGTGTTGTTCAGCTGCAGAAATTGTACTGATTAAACTCTCCGTGTACATTTGAAAGGCTTCAACCCTTCTTTAACGTAAACATAAATAGACACCACTGCTTAAAAGTGTTTTTTTTAAAAAGACATTTTTTAAAAATCTTCTTTTAAAGACTTTTTTTTTTAAAGGCTTCTTTACTCAACCACTGGGCCTAAAGCCTGAGCTTTTATATTTACAAGAGGGTCCGCAGTTCAAGTCCTGTTTCCCAAACCGGCCTGCACATAGACTAAGCATACAAGAGCTTGCAATGATTTCTGTTGAGTGTTACTACTTTTTCACATGGAATGGTATGATTGTGTTTTATCAATGGGAATCATTTCAAATTGAGGCTGAGGTACTTTTGGATTTGAGCAGAGGCTGGATTTTTTTAATAATGCTTTATTGAAAGTGGATTTCAATATTCAGATTTTATTTCGTGATTAAAAAACCAAAACGTTGAATCACAGACTCACAGACTGGATGAGGTTGGAAGGGAGGTCATCTGGTCCAACCCCCCGTGCTCAAGCAGGGCCACCTAAAGCCGGTTGCCCAGGACCATGTCCAGGCAGCTTTTGAATATCTCCAAGGAGGGAGACTCCACCACCTCTCTGGGCAACCTGTGCCAGTGCTCAGTCACCCTCACAGTAAAGAAGTGTTTCCTGATGTTCAGACGGAGCCTCCTGTGTTTCAGTTTGTGCCCACTGCCTCTGGTCCTGTCACTGGGCACCACTGAAAAGAGCCTGGCTCCGTCTTCTTTGCACCCTCCCATCAGATATTTATGTACATTGATAAGATCCCCCTGAGCCTTCTCTTCTCCAGGCTGAACAGTCCCAGCTCTCTCAGCTTTTCCTCATACATGAGATGCTCCTATCCCATCTTAGTGGCCCTTCGTTGGACTCTCTCCAGTGTGTCCATGTTTTTCTTGTGCTGGGGAGCCCAGAACTGGACACGAGTTCCAGTTCCACAAGTTCCAGTTGAAGCTTATTTTCTTCTTTCTTGCAGCCTTACCCACCTTTTATGCCTCGAAGACTCACAGGGCGCAGCAGATACCGATCACAGCAGCCAATACCACCACACCCTTACCATCCCAGCCTATTACCTTATGTGCTGTAAGTTCAAAGTACATTTGCTTCCATGTAGGCTATTGGGAAGTCACGTGACTTTCAACAAGAGTCTCGGCACTTTTTATGGTTGGACTCTACCAGAGAACAGACATAGTTCAGCTGTCCCAGAGAACAGGAAAACTTCCATTTCTATGTAAAGTTTTCAGCCTATTTTGAATAACGTACACCCTTGAGCAAGGAAAAATATAAGTGAACAATTTTGTCCAATGTAGTTTTGTAGATTTTTCTGAGGCACAGTAGAATTCTTTGTAAAATCTTCAACAAATTTTAAAACTTGATTCTTGGATACTCTTGAAGAAGCATGGTCACACTGTAGGATAAAGTCCTAGGAGTCTTCACTTATGGAATAAATTCATTTGGTTTGGTTCTTAATTACAAAACACAAGGGTGGGAGCTTTCTGTGATGTGTTACTCTTTACTGGCTGAACTGCTAATCTGTTACAGCTATTCAATTTCTGTTCTGCCTCTGATTAGCTGTTTCTGGAAAAGATGTGGGACAATTAACATTTAGAAATTCTCTGCAGTGTGTGATGGTAGACTCTCTGTGGCAGAGTTTGGGTACATGACACGAGATTTATTACTCTTCTGTGTTCTCTTTTGAAATAAGTATGAAATGTGTGGAAAACAAAGATTATTTTCTGGTGGCAAAGGTGACATTGACAAGGAAATAATCACACATTGGCACCAGATCTGTACTTTCTTGCTGTGCAATTTCAAATGTGGCATGAAAATGGCACCAGAAATATGATCTAGTGAAGTTGTTCAGCTTTGCATCTTACAGTCTTAGAGTAATGTCATAGCTTCTTGCCTGTCCATTGAGGACACAATGTGGCACAGTAATTCCTGATGACTTGACTGGGATTTTAGTATATTTTAGTGCTGTGAATTTGTGATTTCTATGTCTGTGCATTAAGTTTTGACCCATAGTACTATCTTGGGGTGGTAAAAACACTTGTTGAATATAAAAACAGAAAAACATCTCTCTTGCCTCCCTGAAGAGATTCTGCTTTAACCAATATCACAGTATGTGACAAAGTGAATTTGTGCTTGCCTTCAGTATGGAAGTTGGTCCAGTAGCATATCCTATTTATCTTTGTTGTGTACTATAGGCTTACAAAAGTTTCACGGCTTTTGTATTGGAGAGCTAAGTGAACTTAGGGTTCCTTTTGTTTGTTGATATTTTATCCACTTAAAGAAATAAAACATATTTGAAAACAGAGCATCAATTCATTGTCAGTTTTAGCTCTCCATAATCTGTGATAATAAAGAGATAAGTTTTTATAATAATGCTGAGCCTCGTTGGAAGTAGCAGTTGAGACATGCATGCAATTAAAAAGGCAACACTCCCTGTATCAAAAAGTGGCAGAATTAGCTTTTTCCTTTGACTATTTCACTTCAAATGTTCATTCTTGACTTCAAACTTAACATTTTTACCAGTTCTGAGAACTTGCTGATTTGAGAGAGATCAATAAGGTAACTTTACCTCTGCCAGACGTTTCTGTGCTTTTCTTCAACATGCTGAACCTTATATTGTTTGCTCTCATGGTAGATCAATGCTGCCAGTGCCACCTGCAGTTGGACCAGCTTTCAGCTTTGAGTTGGATGTGGAAGACGGAGAGGTAGAAAACTATGAGGTTGGTGTGCAAACTGCAACTATCTTTAAAGAACAGAAGTTAGCTCAAGCAACGTAAAATTTTACTACATTTTGCTTTTAATCTTGCTTTTGCCTTTCGAATAAATTTAATGACTGTGAAGGCAGAATCCAGAAACCATCCTTTCAGATTTTTTTGCAATACTGGATATTAGAAGTGCTTAGCTTTATTTTTTGTCTATTGCTCTTTCCCAGAATCCACCCTTCCAGGCTAGTAATCATTAAATTGGTCAGCTTTTATGTTCTACATGCTACTCTTCTCCTTTTGAATTTTAATTGATTTTAAATATCAAACAGAAATGAAGCACTTTCAAAAGAACAGAGTAAGTTACTGGGTTTATATGCTTAACTTCACAGAATAGTGTTAATGTCATAGGATTAATTAATCTAAATGTAATGTTTATAAAACTGTCTTACTGCCTTTTCTTCTTGGTCCTCAGGAGGGTACAGTAATTCACATCTATAGATGTAGAACCCTCTTTAATGTCCTAGATAATTATGGGGCAGTCCTAGCTGTTGTGTCTTTGCTGTTTCTGAGGCTATTGGATTCCATTCAATTTCTTTCCAAACAGTCATCATCAACCCTCTCTTTTGCATCTCTTTGCCTGTGCTCCCCTTAAGAGCTCTGTGTAGTTACACATTTTCAGTTTAACAATGAGTACTTCTGTAATAACTTATCTGCTAGTTCAGAAGAAGCATCATCTTATTTCTGAGAATTTCTGAGAGTTTGACAGTATTAGAAATCTCTTTGTGACCAGTATTGTTTGCAGCCTTCACCAAGTCTTTTAACTTTTCTGTGCCTTCGTTCTCCATCATATTCATAGTGATATTTTTCCTAGGCCCATGTGAAGGAGCGCAAGTTACATACATGACAGAGTGCCAGTTATTTACATGAGAGGCTTTTAGTTGCAATGCTTGGCTTATGGAAAAAGAAAAGAAAATTTAGCAAAAAAAGTGCTTAAAGTTTGATGGTATGTATTTGTTTTCCAGATTGAGGATAAAATGTCCATATTTCAATTCAGCTAGCCCAAGACATGGAGTGGGAATCAGAACCTGTCCCATTAAATTCTTGATTTCTCACAAGACCAGACTCACATATTCTTAGGAAGCAAACTTGTTAATGATTTTTTCTGGTTACCAGCACTGTTAATTTCATAGTGGGGTGAGGGGATCCTTCAGAAGCAAAATACTTACCAAGCTGTGCATGCAGCCACAGGTCCTGGAGGTTTTGAAATTGCAAAGAGAACATCTTACATGATTAGAAAGATGATTGAATTCTGACAGATTTTCCGTGGGTCTTGTGTTGTAGGGAAGAACTAAGGTTCTAAACTTTACTCTATAGAAGGGTGTTTTGTGCTACCAGCTGGGGTAGTGAGATGTAATGTCAGCCTGACCTCTAGTGGAACCAGAGCCTCTCTGAGCAGTGAATTTTTAAATGTCCAGTTTCCATGTTTTGCAGGCACTGCTGAATTTGGCAGAACGCCTAGGAGAAGCCAAACCACGAGGGTTGACAAAGGCAGACATTGAACAGCTTCCATCCTACAGGTTCAATCCAAACAACCACCAGTCAGAACAGACATTGTAAGTACATTGGTCTCTTTCAAAGGTCCATAATTCAAGTGGTGTTCCCCAGGGCTTAGTATTGGGGACAGTTCTGTTTAATATCCTTACTAATGATCTGGACAAGGGGATTGAGTGCACCCTCAGTAAGTTTGCAGATGACACCAAGTTGGGAGGGAGGCTTGATCTGCCCAAGGATAGGAAGGCTTTACAAGAGGGATCTGGACAGGCTGGATCGATGGGCCAAGGCCAATTGTGTGAGGTTCAACAATGCCAAGTGCCAAGTCCTGCACTTGGGTCACAACAACCCATGTAGTGCTACAGGCTTAGGGAAGAGTGGCTGGAAAGCTGCCCAGCAGAAAAAGACCTGGGGGTGCTGGTTGACAGCCAGCTGAATATAAGCCAGCAGTGTGCCCAGGTGGCCAAGAAGACCAATGATCCTGGCTGGTATCAGAAATAGTGTGGCCAGTAGGACTAGGGAAGTGTTTGTGCCCCTGTACTCAGTACTGGTGAGACTGCATCTTGAATTCTGTGTTCAGTTTTGGGCCCCTCACTAGAAGAAAGACTTTGAGGTGCTGGAGCATGTCCAAAGAAGAGCAATGAAGCTGGCGAAGGGTCCAGAGAACAAGTACTATGAAGAGCAGCTGAGGGAACTGGGGTTGTTTAGTCTGGAGAAGAGGAGGCTGAGGGGAGACCTTATCACTCTCTACAACTAACTGAAAGGAGATTGTAGTGAGGTGGGTGCTGGTCTCTTCTGTCAGATAGCTGGAGATAGGACAAGAGGAGATGACCTCAAGTTGCATCAGGGAGGTTTGGATTGGATATTAGGAAAAAGTTCTTTACTGAAAGAGTTGTCAGGCATTGGAACAGGCTGCCCAGGGAAGTGGGGGAGTCACCATCCCTGGAGTATTCAAAAAACGTTTAGACAAGGCACTTCAGGACATGGTTTAGTGGCTATGGTTGATGGTTGGACTCCATGATCTTAAAGGTCTTTTCCAACCTAAATGATTCTATGATTCTAAATTATGTGGCTATATTTTAATTTCTTTAATTTGCAGCCTCAGCTAGGCCAGAAGGGCTTTAAAAGCAGTCATGTCAGTAAACAGTTTAATTTTCTTTTTTTTCTTGGATTGCTTTCCAGATCAAAAACTATTTATCCTTACTTTAAAACCTCTATCTAGTCTCACATCATTTCACTATGTTTCAATTTAGTTCCTCAGCATTTAAAAAATTAAAATGAAAGAAAGGTGTTCTAGGTTTTGTTCAGTCAGCGTACTAGATATTAAAGTGACATTGTCAAGTTTTAATTTAGCCTATGTTAAAATAGTTTCAAGCGTTGAAGTTTCAAGTGCTTCTGATAGAGCTTGGTCAGTGGTTTAAGAGTGCATCTTCCTATTTTTAAAACCCATTAACTTACTGTGTTTGAAAGATCTGCACAACCAAGTAGAAAGGGCAGTATAGATATGAAGGTAGTTAAAGTGACTTAGTACCAAATGCTGTCTAATGTTTGAACTTCAGTGTATGGATTTTCCCCTGAGATTCCAGTTTCAGTGATCCTCAGTGTGACTTACCAGTATCAGTAGGGTGTGAACTTATAGATCATGATCTCCATTGTTTTTAATTTTGATTAAACTTCTGTTGTATTGGTTGGGTCTATGAACTCCTGTGAGCAGGAGCAATTGCTTTGTGATTTGAAAGCACAGAATTGTTTTTGTCATTTTCTGTTTACATTATCACACGACACACCTTCAACCACAGATATAGATAACTGTAGCTACCCAAGGAGTAAAAGAGCTACCACGTTGCAGTCGTACCTGTAAGGTTTTGTATGGAATATGTATTTGTTGTTCTTACATAGCAGATACATTTGAACTTCGTTGTCTTTTTTAGGTGTGTGGTGTGCATGTGTGATTTTGAGTCAAGGCAGCTACTTAGAGTCTTGCCCTGTAACCACGAGTTCCATGCCAAGTGTGTCGACAAATGGCTGAAGGTAAAAAAACAAACCAAAAAAAACCTTCCTATCTTATAGGGAATTAGTTATGTAGTTTGGGGGGAGAGGGAAGGAGTATTTTGCTGTTCTTCATTTTATCTTGTTTCATGTTTCTGATGTTTAGACTAGAAATCCCAACAGAGTGGAAGCACTGCCTACTTAGAATATTTTTCTAGTAATTGATGAAGGATGTTTCTTTGGTGCAAGGAAAAGTGAATATGAAGAGAATTATTTCCATTGACAGATCTTACTGTGTTTTCCATTTGCATAAAACAATGGCTGTGAATTCAAGTAAAATGTGAAATTAAAGAAGACTTGAAAACAAAATGTAACTTAATAATATAGGAAGTATGAATTAGAGTTTCTCTGATGATGGTGGCTTTAACTATTACATATCCTGCATAGCAAGCATGAGTACTAATATCTTCCTCCCCCACTTTGCTATTAACGTTAGGTTCTGGGGCAAATAAAATGTATAATGTGTGTATGTATATGTGTATGCATATATACGTTTACATAGAAATGTAATAGATACAAATAGAAATCATAGTTTTACAGAATCATGATATACCCTTCCAAGAGAATCTGAGCAGAAAAGAAAGTGTCTAGAATCAGGGCAGCCCAGTAAGAGGACAGAGAAAATAGTACAGAAGGTGTGAAGAACAGGAATACAAATAAGTAGATGGTGATACACAGACATCTCTACAAGCTGCATTAGCCAGATCTACTGCCGACACAGTACTGATCCCCATCTTGCCTCACCTTTTTTTGGCATTTTATTCTATTCAGTTTTAATACACTCTGAGTGTAGCCTGTTGTGTAGAACATTGGAACAAACTGCCGTGATCCTGAATACAGGATACGCTGCCTAGAGAATTACAGGTGGTGTCTGTTGTTTTGGAAAAAGAAATTAAACCCCCTTGCCTTTATGGCTTCATAAAAGCAAGAAAATGCCTATCTTAGGCATACACTAAAATATTCAGGGCAGAGAATGAAGAAATCAAGTTAATATTGACAGCATTCTTTTGGCTAACACAATGTCAAGAATAATGAGAAGGATTTTAAAAACTGGGATATGAAATTGCTCTTGGGCTACAATACCCACAGTAGTCTAAGGCTTCTGCAAAATCTAAGGCCAGTGTAAATGTTTCCACAGCGATGCTCATAACTTTCAGTAGAACTGATGTCCTTCAGTATCTGAATCCACATACATGAGGATCAGCAAGAGGAATGTAAACAACTAGTTGTTTTATTGTCGGATTAAAAAGCCACATACACACAGACACCCCACATAATATTATCAATATATGTATGCTAGATGTATGCTGTTTTATTCAGTAACTGCAAATTAAGACTAGACTATATATATTCAAGTGGCATTCTTCAATGTCCCCCTACTCTGCTTCAGGAGAGTTCACACTAGATTTGTCAAGTCTTTCCACTGCATGAAACTTCGTAAGTCATTTGTGGCGTGGACAGAGTATCCAGGGGTAGTATTCACTCCTTTTTATGAAAAAAGAACTAAGATCATTTGACACAGCCTGTGAAACAGTGGATGCTATAGTTCTATATAGGTTAAATTGATTACATGGATTTTAAAAGATGGCTCTTTCCAGGCTACTAATGCAAAAAAATATACCTCTGATTCATAGAGCCCCTGATCTGCAGATTGCTGGAAGTTAGAAGAACATGTTAGAGAAGTGTCATGCATGCTTGTTCTGTTCTTAAGCTCTTTCTTACCTGACATTGGTCTCAAGAGTCAGACAATTAATGAATTAATGAATTAAGCTTTTTGGGGACTCAGTGTGGCAGTTCTACAGTTAGATTTAGTACTTTCAACTGGTAATGAACTGGCAGTCAAATTCAGAACAGCAAAGTGAAAAAAGCAGATTTAGTTTAGTCTTTATTTTCATAATTTTGGATGTACTGTAGTAGTGGTGAAACAGCTTTTTCTGTTGTTCCTGTCCCAGCTTAGAAACTATGTATTTTCTGACAGGTCTTCAAGTGTGGTATTTTCTAGAGGTTGTCTTATCATAGAAGAACTCTTAGGAGCGTAAGTGTGTCGGCTAGGTGGGGGAATGAGGTGAAAGATACGCAATCTAAACCTAAAGGGGGTGCAGTTATACCCACGTAAAACTGCTGGTACTGACATCATGTGTTCCAGAGCTGGATGCAAAATGAGCTAGACAAGGTTAAATCATCGTAGTGTAGGATTCTTAAGGCAATCTATTCATACCATGTGGGTTTAGTTACACTGGTACAAAGGTGGTGTATGGAAATAAAGATTATTTTGCTTTGCAAACTGTAACAAATTACCTGTAACACCAGCCTACTTTAGTTACAGCCTCTGTCTAAACTTGGTTACAGTTAGGCAGCAAACATCTGGAAGTAAGGATAACTGGAAGATATTTTGTTCTATAGTTTTGCTTCTGTCCATTCCTCTATGTATTTGACAACTTCTTTTATATGTTGATATCATAGTTATGTCCACATCCACTTAATTCACATCATCTAGCCAACATTGTGTTAAGAAATTCTGCAAGCGACGGTAAAAATTGTAGCTTTCAGTACTTGTAAATTTTTTCCATAAGGTAAAAAAAGAAAGTGTCCTGGTTTCGGCTGGGAAAGAGTTAACTTTCTTCTTAGTAGCTGGTACAGTGCTTTGTTTTGTGAGAATCATGTTGCTAACACACTGATGTTTTAGTTGTTGCTAAGTAGCGCTTATCCTAAGTTAAGGATTTTTCAGTTTCCAATGCTCTGCCAGCAAGCAGGTGCACAAGAAGCTGGGAGGGAACACAGCCAGGACAGCTGACCCAAACTAGCCAAAGGGATATTCCATAGCATAGAACATCGTGCTTGGTATATAAACTGGGAGGAGTTGGCCAGGAGCTGGGATCGCTGTTCAGGCATTGGTCAGCAGGTGGTGAGCAATTGCATTGTGCATCACTTGTCTTTTCTTGGGGTTTTTTGGGGGGGAGGGGTTGGGTTTTGTTTTGTTTTGTTTTATTTTATTACATTCCTTTTCATTACAATTATTATTGGTTTTTATTATTGTTAGTATTACATTTTATTTTACTTCAGTTATTAAATCATTCTTATCTCAACCTACAAGGTTTACTTCTCTTTTTCCACTTCTCCCTATCCCACTGGGAGCTGAGGGAATGAGCGGGTCACTGCATGGTGCCTAGTTGCTGGCTGGGCTTAAACCACAACAAAGAGTTACCAGTTTGTCCTTATGTTTTAGTGATTTAATCTTCTCACTTTGAAGAAAGTATTTGCTATCTAGGAACATTTCTAGAACTACTTCTAGAACTATGGAGTGACATTGATTCTTTTAAGTTTCACCATGTTATTAGTGAAAGATTTAAATAAGAGGTTAGTGATCCAATCTGATTATTTTAAAAAAAGAAAAATCCTTATTCCACTGCCTGTTGCTGATGATGGAGCAAAAATAAGGTAGCTGAGAAAGTTCTGTGGCTTGTCTATACATGGAAGGTTTGATCTGCCCTGCTGCAATAATGCTAGGTACAGTACCACCTTTTTAGGTATTGTGAGCAAGTGAGAGGAAATGTTCTTTTACAGTGCCTTAGGTTGCCCACTGTCATTGTTTCAGCCCAACCAGCCACAAATCACCACTACACTGCTTGCTCACTCCTCCCCACAGCTGGTGGGATGGGGAGGAAAAAAATATAAAGAAAAGATCATAGATCAAGACAAGGACAGTGAGGGATCACTCACCACTTATGGTCATGAGCAACACAGACTCGACTTGGGGGAAAAAATCAATTTAATTTGTTACCAATCAAATTGGAGTACGATAGTTGGAAATAAAAACAAATCTTAAAACACCTTCCCCGCCTCCTCCCTCCTTCCCAGGCTCAAGTCCACTCCCAATTTTTTCTCCCTCCTCCCCACAGCAGCAGAGGGGGATGGGGAATGGGGGTTGTGGTCAGTTTGTCAGACATTGTCTCTGCTGCTCCTTCCTCCTCAGGGTGAGGACTCTTCTCCCTGCTCCAGCACGGGGTCCCTCCCAGTCCTCCATGAACTTCTCCAGCATAAGTCCTTCCCAGGGGCTGCAGTCCTTCACAAACTACTCCAGCGTTCCAGGGTCCTTTTCTGTGGGCTGCAGTCATTCAGGCACAGGCTGCTCCAGTGTGGGTTTTCCCATGGAGTCACAGCCATCTTTGGAGACAAGGGATCCTCCACGGGCTGCAGGTGGGCATCTGTTCCACCATTCACCTCCATGGGCTGCAAGGGAACAGCCTGCTGTCTCACCACGGGCTGCAGGGGCATCACCTCCTCCAGCACACCTCTTCCCCATCCTTCTTCACTGACCTTGCTGTCTGCAGAGGGGTTTCTTTCATGTCCCACTCCCCTCTCTGCTGCAGGTTCCCCTTCTTAAATATATTATCCCAGAGACACTACCACCGTCGCTGATGGGCTTGGCCTTGGCCAGAGACGGATCTGACTTCGAGCTGGGGAAGCTTCTGGCAGCTTCTCGCAGGAGCCACCCCTGCAGCCCCCACCACCACTACCAAAACCCTGCCACACAAACCCAAAACATCCACTTTAATTTATACTTCCCTGGTTAAGCAAGGTTAAAGATTTGTGAGAGAAGATGTAATACAGGGGAGGAAACATAATTAGCAAGAGGGAGATTATCCTTTTGCCTTTCATAGTATTGTCAACTGTCATATTTCACAGTATTTGGTTATTTCTTAATATCCTAAGTCCTTTAGTCAAATATGAATACACAAGAAATCTCTTGTTTTTTAAAGTAAGAGTTAGTCATCATTCCAAAAGACAGCTTGAAAACATGACCTGTCTTCACCCTGACGGTTTAGAACCAGATAACAAGGACAACTTGCCTTTATATTTAATCTTCTGTTAGGAAATGCTGTATTATATATGAGAAAAGACAAACTATAACTATAGTTTAACTTGGGTTTGATGGACTAACACCAAAGTAGTGCAATGCTATTTAGAGGATTCTAGTAGCCCTACAGATTTGTTATTCTACTTGCAGTTCACTTTAGCTATAAATTTCTATAAAATATAAAAAAATAAATCAGTTCATTGTGCAGCTCGCTCTCACTTACAGCACAAAAAGTAAGTTTGCCTGAAAGAGTGGCTAGTTAGAAGGTCAATATTACAATATTATGTCCATCTTACTCCTCTTTTTGCACCAGAGAGTCATGTTAAAAGCCAGGAATGGGGAATGAATTTCATGAAAGGCACAAGAGTGCAACTAAATTTAAAACAGATGTTCATGCAGGATCTTGAAAAGTGACTTAAAAAGCAGTGCTGCAGTGTCTATGAGTATTCATTTTATCCTGGCACAGTGGATTTATTTCTGCAATTCCTACCAGGAAATTACTCCCACCGAATGCTCTGTTTCATGCTACAAATGGTAGATACTTCATTATTTATCTAAGCAAATACCTCCTGATTCATTAATCCATTGAATTTTGAAGAACATGCCTTTTTATTTTAAAAATTGTATTAGCTGAATTATATCTAGAATAAAGCAAATACAAAGTAGTGACCAAGTAATGGCATTGTCCTTAAGTAATTTCAAAACTGCTAGTGAAAGAACAAGAAATAAATTTTGAATTGATTCTCCAATCTATGCTTTACAAAAACTATGAAGCAATAACTATGATAAAAACTATAAAACAGTAATAACAACAGTAGTAATTGACAGAAAACATATACCCTCATGTTAACTTGCATTACTAAATTAAGTTTTTCAGTAATAGCATGTTACTTTCATTGGCATTTATTGTTTGGATTTGAAATTTGCGGCAATGATTTCTGAACTCTGGCCTGCAGAGCCTCATTTCTTGATGCTCTCACTTGTATTTTCATTGAAAAATTTGGCTACCTTAGAAAAACTTGGAGTCGACAGTGGTTGGTCCTGCAATTCTGGGAACCATGAAATACAGAAATTGGGGCAGGGAAGAGTTCTCCCCAGTCCACCCTTTGCAAAGGAGATATTTTAGCATAGATGTTACAGGGTTGTTTTGGGCTTTTTCTCAACATTTACTGCAATGAAATTAGCTTTTATTTGAAAAGGAGAATGAGAAGGCAGAAATACTTTCCCAGTAGCTTTAAGGAATATTACTTCTCATCTGTCTTACCATTTTAAGGAAGCTATAAAAGTAAAAGGGTCACAGGATGTATTTTCAGTGAGTGCTTTACTGAAGGGCTAAATTTAGACCTGGTTGTGTATGTTACTTGAATACCTGTTTTGTCAGGTCATCTCTCTCTCTTTCCCCCCTGCCCCCTTTCTCTTTACTTAAAAGCGTTTCCCTCTTTCACTGGTCTGCTTTCAGCTTTGACCAAGTCTATATGATGGGTTTCTGTGAGAATAACTGAATAAACAGTGTATTAAGAGATGTGATTCCTGGTCAGTAGAGCTTGTGACAACATAACACCCTCATATAAGATGTTTATTTGTAGCCCAAGGTTACTAGTCTGGTTTTGGTGGGTTTCTCTGCAGCATACAGTACAGCTTCTTAGTTGCATCCATTTGATTGCAATATACTATAACCATGAGTCTGCATTGATAAAAGCACCATCACTTAGATAAAGCCTAGTTTGCTGTTTCGCTTTATCTGTAAAGATAAAAGGCACAATTTTTTTTTTGTAAACACAATTTTGAATTGGCAAGCCTATCATACCATTCATAACAAAACAAACTAAAAAAAAGGCATAAGCACACTTTGTCTTCTTTTATTTTAAGTACTCTTAAATTGCTTTTCAATACTCACAGGTGTCAGTGTCATATACACATTACCTTAACAGTGTATTTGTCAGTACAGTAAACCGTGTTTTGTTTCTGGTTTTACAGGCAAATCGTACCTGCCCAATTTGTAGAGCTGATGCTTCGGAAGTGCATCGTGATTCAGAATGACCAGTCTAAAAGCACAAATCTGGTTTGGGTGTTCCTGGTCACATGTATATATGAACTATCTATTGAACTTACCCATGTGGCTTCCAGCCTACCCTTTACACAAAAGGGTCAATGGACCTTACTTTGCACTGTGTGACTTAATCAATTATAAAGCTTATAACTAGTCTTCACAGTTACGGGATTGTTATACTAACAGTGTGATTGGAACTCCAAAGATTTTTTTTTTTTTTTTTTTTTTTTTTTTTAGCTTAATTTTGTGTGTGCACTAACATTCCCTGGTTTTTGTGTGATCATTCCGAGTGTTGCTGCGAGATTATTGTGGATGTGATCTTTTAGCATGTGCTTTTATATAAAAGAAAAAGGAAAAAAAAAAGTGGTAGCTCCAAACAATATAGCAATCTACCTTATATAGAGCCTTCAGATACTGTGAGTGGAAATGAATGGTGTAAATGTGTGTTTGCTTGTGAGAGGATGTGTGACGTGTGCTTGTGACTGAGTGAGTGTGCATGTGTGTTTGAGAACCTATATACCAGCATGTACCAAGAACGTATGTGTGTAGTAATAATTATGCTGCAATGTATAATCTTGTGTGTTATTTAAACAGTACTAGTACTGTACACTGGTTCCTTTCCTTGTGTTTGCAGTTGCACACTGAATGCGATGGGTGCAGCAATTACAGACATTTAGTATTTCCTCCCCCATGTACTTGCAGGTATAAAGACCTTTCTACCTACTATTCAAACAGCTGTTATGCTTCCCCTTCATTGGAGGCTTTAAATGTGTACCACTAAAGAGTGCATTGATTGTTCATACATGAGTAACCTTGGGGTTTTTAGCATATGTTACAAAGTCTGGATTTTTAAATGGCTGATTTACAAGTTATTTTATCAATGTAAAGTTGCAATATCACAGAAATCATTTAGCAATATTAACACTTTCAGTTGCTAATATGAGTATCAATGCTTTTCTGTTCTGCTTTTAAATTTTTCTAGCTGGATTTGCCAGTTACATGCTTCTTCCATGAAAGGAAGTAGAAAGGACACTGAGGGTGTTGTGCAAGAGCTCTTCACTTTTGGCCATTGTACTTGCTAAGGACATAATCTTTTAGCTTATAAACATTGGCTTTAATCACATACATTCTTTGTTATTTACAAGGGAGTTTGTATACAATTAAAATAACTTGTAAAAGGTTACAATTTTATTCCTGCAACTTCATGAATAAAATAAAATTTTTAGCATTTTCTCAGAGAAGTAGAACTTCTGATTTTTTTCATTCTATCACAAGAAAAGGTGGGTTTTGGTCACTAACTGCAGAATTCAGTTGCCCTGATGCTGCTTCTTGCCCTTCCTTATTTCACGATGAGTGTAATACAAAGAAGGAACTTCCTTGGGTTTTGCAATCGAGTTTGCAGAGCTCCACTATAGGAGAACAGTGCTGCGAAATAGGAAGTGGTAACCTCTATTCAAGTGCTCTGAATAATGTTTTATTTGGGCCATTAAAAAAAAAAAGCTTCATTTATAACATTCAGACTGTTAACATCTTTGATATGTTCTAGCAAAACATTTAGGTCTGCATATACCATAGTTATTCAAAGGATGCACTTTTTGCAACAAAATTATTCTCCTAATTTCAGTGTCATTACTTTGGTTGCAGCAGCACAGGTGGCACAGTTAGCAATATTGCTGCAACTTGCTGCCAGTCTCAGCTTTAAGTTTATTCTTTATAATTTCTGATGCTTTTGTATGCTGCTATGCTCTAGTATCAGTTATAATTTCAAACAGCGTTAGATGTTCTCCAGGCTGATTTCCCTCTGAAGATTCTACACATCAGTCACAGCTCTTGGTGCAGATAAAATAAAAGCACAGTTTTGCCCTATTTCAGATGGTCTTCCCTCTGTTTAGTTATGCAGGTAGTTCTCAAAAACGGTGAGTCTTTCCATACCTATTGATACTTAAGAACACTAAATAACTAAAAATGCTGGTACATCAACTTCAAAATACTAGAATTTCTTCTCTCTTCCAGTGTAGTTAGAGAATAGGCTTCTCACAATAACACCTAGCAGGCTAAATTACGTGTAATAAAATTTATTTTTTTAACAAATAAAATCATGTGTTTAAAAAGCATATGCCACGTCTCGCAAACCTTAGGCTCTTTTATGTAACTGCAAAAGAAAAAATCCTGTGTGTACAGATTTGAACATAACACTACTCTGCTCAGTATTCAGCTCAAAGCATGTAAAGAGGGTACTTTTTCTAAACTAGATGCAATGAACAAAACACATCCTTCTGGAGCCAAGGGAAAGTAGTCCTCTTTCTAAAATTGGGGAAATCTTGATGTGTAATGTCCCTTTCTCCCTAGTAAAATTCTGAAGCAGTGGGAGATCTAGGAGATGGAGGGTCTAAGTTGGTAAAATCCTGAAATTAATTGTTGCACTCTTACAGCTCATCTCTTCTGGAATGGTTCTTTCGTTTGCATGGGATTCTTGCAAATACATGTGGACTCTTGCTTCCTGTGGTTAGTGTGTATAAACAGCACACTTGCATATGTTCTGAATCAGCTCAGACAAGCGACAACTCTGTTGTGGCTGTCAAGGGAGCGGGATTCATGTTCAGCTGTTAACTGCCATGTGTTATGCACATTTGTATGTAATTTCACAGCCTGCTATGGTGCCTGGCAGCACCTGAATTTAGCAAGACTTTTTTTATGTTGATTGCCTTTCTGCCATCACCTGGCTCCTTCTTCTCCAAAAAAAAAAAACAACCAAACCTGTAGTATGTTTGCTTTATCATATTGGCACTGCTGTGTTTTTGCATAAACTGTCAATTTAATTTGACATTTCAGTGGATATGAAGGCCTACAGATAATTCCAATGTCTCATTTTGTGGCTCGCTTTACAAAAAAAGCCTTTTGTTGTATGCCATTTTGTGCAGCTTTTGAATGTGATTTCACAGTTGTTAATCCATTGTGTAATACGTGGGATGAGATTTACCAACGTTTCTAATTTTAATTGTAGAAAACACATTTTTGACTGAGTTATCTTTGGGCCTTTGTAAAAGCTGTGGTTTTTTTCTTTGGTACATTGTTACCTCATTTTGCTACTTGTGTTTCAGATTTGCTAATGATTATGAAAGCTTATGGGTTTTGTTGGAGTCATATTTTGTCAAGTGTTTTCTTTAAATCATATGCTATTGTATCATTTAACATGTAGTTTTAAATGTATTGTATCTGTAACCAAATCATTTGAAGGCTTGATAAATTTTTAACAAAATTTGTACATTTTTTATGAGAGTTACTAGTAATGCTTTACTAGGTAGTGCAATGAATTTTTATTTTTAATCCCTGTGCCCAATTTTGGAGTTGAGAGAGTTGTTCGGTAATAAATGTATGATGTACACTTACACAATTTGTCCTGTTCTTTCTTTTAGAAAGAGGTGCATTGTTTCCTTTCATTACTCTGCATATTTCTGTGCATGATCGTGCAACTCTAGATATTGGCAACAGATGCTAGTGTTGTATGGGGAAGTTTTGCCACCTTAATTGTAGTGCATGACAGACTTTTTTTAATCTATGTTGAGAGATCGTAAGAAAATTATATGAAATGTGTCATATTTTTGAAAGTGTAAAACAACTGTAATTCATAGAACTCAAAGCCTAAAAGATCAGCTTTCTAAAGATGTTACTTAGTCAAAAGAAAATACGCAGGGATGGAGGTGCTCCTTAGACATACTATTTGCACTGTGTGTCAGCTGAAGATGTGTTATACTTCGCAGTGCTCTTAAGAGTGGTAAAAAAGGTATCCTGAGTTAAGGATGAAGCTGAATTATAAGGAGTTTGATTAGCCAGGGTCACACAAGAAGCTGATGGTGAAACAAAAAAAAACAAAAAAAAAAGAGTTGTTTGGTTTTGTTTTTAATGAGATGATGTAAATTAAGTTGACAGATGTAATTATTTAATTATGTAATTATTTTAAAGGTTGTCATTCACACAGGGCATTTAATAGCTTCATCAATAGCAATGTTCTTGGTGCTCAAACATACTTGAAGATGTACTGGTGCTTTGAGAATCCTTATGCAAAGGTTTATATACATGTCTTTTGGATTTGTAATCCTGGATAACAACTAGTTTGCCCTCTTTCGTACAGCAGATGTTAATTATTAATTACACTGTTGAAAATGGACAGTGCTGCCAGTAGTCCCTTGCAAAGCTAAGGTTATTGGTCTGCCAGTGATGGTAGCGGAACTTAGAAGTATTGGTGACTGGCAGTATACCAAGCCTATATCAGCAAGGCCCTGAGAGTAGAGCAGGGCTTCCTGGTAGAGATCATAGAATATCTCAAGTTGGAAGGCACCGATAAGGATCATTGAGTCCAACTCCCTGCTCCTCGCAGGACTACCTAAAACTAAACCATATGACTAAGAGCATCATCCAGACGCTCCTTGAACTCTGACAGGCTTGGTGCCATGTCCACTTTCCTGGGGAGCCTGTTCCAGTGACTGACCACCTTCTCGGTGAAGAACCTTTTCCAGTGTCCAATCTGAACTTCCCCTGATGCAGCTTCATTCCATTTCCTCGTGTTCTATCACTGGTCACCAGAGAGAGGAGATCAGCACTTTCCCCTCTGCTGCCACCCTTGAGGAAGTTGTAGACTGTGATGAGGGCACCCCTCAGCCTTCTCTTCTCCGAGCTGAACAAACCCAAGTGACCTCTGCCACTCCTCCTAAGTGTTGCCCTCAAAAATCTTTCACGGTCTTGGTCACTGTCCTCTCGACACTCTAATAGTCTGCTGTCCTTCTTATATTGAGGTGCCCAAAACTGCACGCAGCACTCAAAGTGGGGCCACACCAGTGCAATGTAGCGTGGGACAATCACCTCCCTCGACCAGATAGCTACGCTGTGCTTGATGCACCCTGGGACACGGTTAGCACTTTTGGCTGCCAGGGCACACTCTTGACTCGTATTCAACTTGCCATCAACCCAAACCCCCAGATCTCTTTTCATGGGGCTGCTCTCCAGCTTCTCATCCTGTACGTATACAGGGTATAACCAGGATTACCCCTTCCCAGGTGGAGAATCTAGCACTTGCTCTTGTTAAATTTCATAGGATTGGTGATTCCCCAGCTCTCTAGCCCATCCAGATCTCTCTGTAAGCCCTCTCTACACCCAAAGGAGTCCACAGCTCCTCCTTATTTAGTATCATCAGTGAATTTAATGTACATTTGACTCCTCTATCCAGATAATTTAGAAAAACATTAAAGAGCACTGGCACTAAAACTGAGCCCTGTAGAACCCCACTAGTGACCAGATGAACCTAAGCAAAGCTGACATAAGCTTAGCTGCTGCCTCTGCACCAGGATTTTGTCCATTTCCTTCTGCTATTCCTTGCCAGCACCAGCGAGTGTGTATGTACTGCAAACAACTGAGGTGCAGCACCAACCTGTGTGAGATTCTGAGCACCAGGTTATACGCAGGCAGCAGCCAAAGCTGTAATTCCTATGAGCTCTGCTAAATTAGGCAGTGCTCCCAGCAACAGAAAACTAGTCTTTTTTGCAACAGGGTTCATCTAAACTCACCATGCACTATGTGTACAGACTGTGCAGTTTGTACCATAGCAGGGACATGTTTCATAATATATCACAGTGTTTTTGCAACAGGGAGACCTTTGGCAGAAAGATACCTGATCCCTAGTCAGCTTCCTGCTGTACCTTTCCATGCAAAAGAAATGATGATGTTTGACTGTTTGACTGGAAGCTTCTGTGTGGGGAAGTAAGGATCAGAAAACATACTTGTCAACTGATAGGCAAAGGGCCAAGACTGTTTGCCTTGCCAGACAGTCTTCTCACCACCCAATCTATAGATTTTCTGCCTTTGTTTCCTATTGAGTATACTGCTCTTTTCCTGTCCCAAACACAGCCACTTTCAAAATCTAAATCCCTTTAATCTGAAACAAATAACCAAGCCAAACTCAAGACATTCTATAAATCCATGAGTAGCATGTACCTTGTAACCCAGCAGTTGTCCTTAATTTGGGCTAGCAGTGAAGCTCTTTTCTTCCACGACATCTCTCTACTTCCTTCCTTGGAATACATATAGCTCTCCGTTCCTTGCAAAAATAGTGTTTATGAACCTATGTCTTGTTTCCCTAGGATATCTTTATACAGTACTTAGTTGGAAACAGTCTCTCCACTTCTTGCAAGCTGGCCAGCTTGTGGTCTCAGTAACCACCATAAGTCCAGCCTTACTGTATTTGCAGATACAATAAGCAGGAATGCACTGATCAGAAGCTACTATATCCTATCTCATCTATGCAGCTACTGAACCCATAAGGTAGTAGGCTGAGCAAGTATGTGTCTGTTTGAAAAATATTACATACTCTGTGTCATCATTTTGCAGCCTTGTTGCCATTGTCAAAACAGGATTTTTAACTTGGGTTGTAACGTCTGTTTGTCCAATCCTCTTGTAGCAAGGTCAGCAAAAATGGGGGCCATCTAGGAACCTGTCTCAGTTATTGTCAAAGCTGGACACTTGGGTACCCTGCAACGTTTTATCAAGAACTGCCATATCAAACCATGGGCAGTGATACCTTAGTAGCATCAGTAGATCTCAAGTGTTGATTCTGCTGGAGGCTTCTTGCTTCTAGCATCAGCCCACTTGCTGGCTTTTTACCTATTTGTTTTAACTTTCAGACTGAGGAGGAGGATTCAAGAATGCTATAAACTTTCCAAAGCAAACAAGTTAAGCCCCCCCCTTCTGTAGTTAATGGCAGGTTTCTGGTATCTGCCAGCATCGAGTTATGCGGAGGAGCCATTACAGGGCAGAGAGGCAACTGGTGATGGGATTGTACAAGAAAGGTATAGAAAGGAGTGGAGGAAAGATTGCCTTTCTGGTTCCACAGGGTAGAGTATGTCCTGGCTTCTTCTGCACACAGTTCCTTCATCAGCCCCACCTCAGTGCCCAGTAAGGTGATGGAACAGATCCTCCTGGAAGTTCCATCAAAACATATGGATAACAGGGAGGTGATTAGGGACAGCCAGCATGGCTTCATGAAGGGCAAGTCACGCCTTACTGATCTAGTGGCCTTCTACAATGGAGTGACTGCATCAGTGGACAAGGGAAGAGCTACAAATGTCATCTATCTGGACTTCTGTAAAGCCTTTGACACAGTCCCACACAACATTCTTGCTGCTAAATTGGAGAGATAAGGATTTGATGGAGGTACTATTTGATGGATAAGGAATTGGCTGGGTGGCCATGTCCAAAAAGTTATAGTCAATGGCTCAATGTCCAAGTGAAAACCAGTAGTGAGTGGTGTCCCTCAAGGGTCCATACTGGGACCAGTACTATTTGATATCTTCATTCGATATCCCCCCACAGACAGTGGGATTGAGTGGAACCCCAGTAAGTTCGCGGGTGACACCAAGCTGAGTGGTGCAGTTGATTGATAGGCTTGCAGGAAGGGATGCCATCCAGAGGGACCTTGGCAGGCTTAAGGAGTGGGCCCATGTGAACATCTTGAAGGTCAACAATGCCAAGTGCAAGGTCCTGCATCTGAGTGAGGCTAATCCCAAATATCAGTACAGGCTGGGGGATGAATGGTTTGAAAGAAGCCCTGCAGAGAAGGACTTGGTGATACTGGTTAATGAAAAATTAGGTATGAGCTGGCAACTCAGCTTGCAGCCCAGAAAGCCAAACGTATCCTGGGTTGCATAAAAAGAAGTGTGGCCAGCAGGTTGAAGGATGTGCTCTGTACTCCACTCTTGTGAGACCCCACCTGGAGTACTGCATCCAGCTCTGGGGTCCCCAGTACAAAAGAAAGACATGGACCTGTTAAAGTGGGTCCAGAGGAGGGCCATGGAAATGATCAGAGGGCTGGAAGACCTCTCCTATGAAGAAAAGCTGAGAGTGTTGATGTTGTTAAGCCTATAGAAGAGAAGGCTCTGGGGAGACCTTATTGTGGCCTTTCAGTACTTAAAGGGGGCTTATAAAACAGAGACTTTTTACCAAGGCCTGTAGTGACAGGACAAGGGGCAAAGTTTTTAAACTGAAAGTTATTTAGATTAGATCTAAGGAAGAAATTTTTTACTATGAGGGTTGTGAGACACTGGAACAAGTTGCCCAGAGAAGTTGTGGATGTCCCATCATTGCAAGTGTTGGAATCTTTGAGCAATCTGATCCAGTGACCCTGCCCATGGCAGTGGGATTGGAGTAGGTGATCTTTGAAGGGCCCTTTCCAACCCAAACCAATGGTTCTATGAATTAAGTCAGTAAACTGCTTGAATAAAAAGGCCAGCCATGCCTTTTGTGCATCTGCTTTGTAGGACATGATTTACACTTAGCACATACTGTGTCACGGAAGTATGGTTCTTGGATAGGAGAACCAGTAAATATGTGA